AAAGTAAAACTGTGTTAAAATTGTAGTACTCAACATATACCAATAACAAAAGATGAATACAAGTCATGTTTGACTTCTGCAGTTACAAGAAGTACCATCAGTGTCCAGACACTTCTGATTATGGCAAGCTTGAGCAACGTTGACCAAAGTGTCCACTTGTGTGTGTGTGTGTGTGTGTGTATAAATTTTTTTACTTTTTTATTTTTAAGTATAGTCAACCTTCAATACTATTCTACTTCAGCCTCAAGTGTATAGTGCCGTGGTCAGGCAATCACACAGTCTATGAAGTGATCCCCCTGATAAGTCCAGTACCCATCTGGTACTCTACATAATCTTTATAACAGTGTTGGTTATATTCCCCATACTGTATTCCGTATCCCTGTGACTATATTGTGACTACTAATTTATACTTTCTAATTCCTTCACCTTCTCCCCCATCACCACCCCCTCCCATCTAGCAACCATCAGTTTTTTCTCTATATCTCTTGAGTCTATTTCTGTTTTGTTTGCTATTTTTTTTTTGTTTTTTAGATTCCACATATAAGTGAGATCATATGGTATTTGCTTTTCTCAGTCTGACTTATTTCATTGAGGATAATATTCTCTAAGTCCATCCATGTTGTTGCAAATGGTAAGATTTCATTCTTTTTTATGACCGAGTAATACTCCATTGCATAAATGTACCACAGTTTCTTTATCCAATCATCTGTTGATGGGCATTTCAGTTGCTTCCATATCTTGGCTATTGTTTCCATATCTTGGCCATTGTGAATAGTGCTACAGTAAACATGCGGGTGCATATATTTTTTCGAATTAGTATTTTGGATTTCTTTGGATATAGAAGTGGAATTGCTGGGACATAAGGTGGTTCCATTTTCAATATTTTGAGGAACCCCATACTGTTTTCCATAGTGGCTGCACCAATTTGCAATCCCACCAACAGTGCACAAGAGTTGCCTTTTCTCCACGTCCTCACCAATACTTGTGTGTTGATTTATTGATGATAGCGATTCTAACTGGAGTGAGATGGTAGCTTATTGTGGTTTTTATTTGCATTTCTCTAATGATTAGTGACATTGAGCATCTTTTCATATGTCTGTTGGCCATCTGTATGTCCTTTTTAGAGAAATGTCTTCATGTTCTCTGCCAATTTTTTAATTGGGTTGTTTGGGGTTTTTTTGGTGTTGAGTTGTATGAGTTTTTTATAAATTTTGGATATTAATCCCTTATCAGATGTATCATTGGCAAATATCTTCTCCCATTCAGTAGAATGTCTTTTTTTNTCTGAAAAATTACAGAAAGCTGTAAATTCTGCCATATGGGATTGGGTGAATTTGATTGTTGTTCTCCCTTTGGCTATTCTGTCATAATCAAAGATATAGAATGTGATTTTCCAAGAGTAAGCAAGGCTGTGTCATGTATTAGAACTTTATCGTCTATAAACAGAAAAGGTGCTTCTACGTTCTGACAGTCACCATGTGCAAAAAAGCGGTTTAATGTAGGAAACTGGAATAAGTTAAAGAACTTAAATTTAAACTCGGGTATGCATGAAGTGGTAATCAATAAAAATTTATGAACCATCTACCTCCTACACAAGCTTCCAGTGAAGCAGCTTTTAGATTCTCTTCTTATTTGAATAACTTTCCAAATAGTGCCTTCAGTGTATGTCTGTGTGTTATGAAAATTCTTAAGGCATTTTTAAAAATTGTTAATTATATTTTCTTGTGGTAAAATACACATAACAAAAACAATATGACCAGATTTCATCATCACCACTGCTGATCCCAATCAGAGCCGCCATCCCATGCACCTGGATTTTAGTGCTGGTCTTCTAAATGGTCTCCCAACTTCTTTTTTTTTTTAAAGATCTTATTGGGGAATTGGAGGAGGGGAACAGCGTTGGGGAATCAGGGAAGGGGAACAGACAAGTTGCTATCCTTTTGTTCTTCAGTCTAGTTGTGGAAAACATCGCTTCACTGGCCAATGTTGGTATTATGATCATTGTGCTCTTCCCGGGTGAGGCAGTTGATCACCGGCCATTGGATGGTCACTCACGGCGGCTCACGGCAGCTCACGCCTGCTGCCAGCCAGCCCCACTGCAGCCTATGCCTTCTCCAGTGACTAACGGCATCCCAGCTTCAGGTTGAGCTGTTGTTCACCATCTTAGCTGTAGAGGGCGCAGTATCACTGTCCCTCATGTGGGATCCGAACCAGGGCCCTCCTGCTCAGAGCTGGCGTCCCAAGCCAACTCCTAACCAACGTGCCACTCGGCCAGCCCTGGTCTCCCAACTTCTAACAGTCCTCAGCACAGTAGTCACAATAATTCATTAGCAACATAGGCAGGTTCTGTTCTATTCAGAACATGGCTTCCGAATTCATTTAGAGAAAAATGAAAACTCTTCAAAACTG